CACAGCACAGCACAGCACAGCAGACCGCAGCACAGCATAGGACAGCACAGCACAGCACAGCTCAGCAGAGCACAGCACAGCACAGCACGCCCTTTCGTGGCACTTTCTGGACACCACATGGGGAGGCGTGAGTTCTCCACACCACAGGGGTGAGCAGGGGGAGGCGTGAGTTCTCCACACCACGTGTTTCGTGGGGTTATGGTTCTTCCCTTCCGCGTCTCACCCGCGTCTCCTCCTTCTCCTTCTCCTCCCTCTCCTTCTCTTCCCTGCCGCGCCGCACCCGCCACATGGGGGTGCGCAGAGGGTGCGCAGAGGGTGGTCCCCCAGCGCGGCCTCTATCCGTGACACGCTCGCAGATCGTGGCAGGAGTGGCACTTTCTCGACACCACAGGGGGTGCGCAGAGGGTGGTCCCCCAGCGCGGCCTCTATCCGTGACACGCTCGCAGATCGTGGCAGGAGTGGCACTTTCTCGACACCACAGGGGGTGCGCAGAGGGTGGTCCCCAGCGCGGCCTCTATCCGTCGCAGATCGGTGGCGACTGCGCAGCGCGGCCTCTATCCGTGACACGCTCGCAGATCGTGGCAGGAGTGGCACTTTCTCGACACCACAGGGGGTGCGCAGAGGGTGGTCCCTCAGCGCGGCCTCTATCCGTGACACGCTCGCAGATCGTGGCAGGAGTGGCACTTTCTCGACACCACAGGGGGTGCGCAGAGGGTGGTCCCTCAGCGCGGCCTCTATCCGTGACACGCTCGCAGATCGTGGCAGGAGTGGCACTTTCTCGACACCACAGGGGGTGCGCAGAGGGTGGTCCCCCAGCGCGGCCTCTATCCGTGACACGCTCGCAGATCGTGGCAGGGACACTTTCGTGCGCAGGGGGTGGTCCCTCAGCGCGGCCTCTATCCGTGACACTCGCAGATCTGGCAGACACTTTCTCGACACCAGAGAGGGTGCGCAGAGGGTGGTCCCTCAGCGCGGCCTCTATCCGTGACACGCTCGCAGATCGTGGCAGGAGTGGCACTTTCTCGACACCACAGGGGGTGCGCAGAGGGTGGTCCCTCAGCGCGGCCTCTATCCGTGACACGCTCGCAGATCGTGGCAGGAGTGGCACTTTCTCGACACCACCGGGGGTGCGCAGAGGGTGGTCCCTCAGCGCGGCCTCTTCCGTGACAACTCTCGCAGATCGTGGCAGGAGTGGCACTTTCTCGACACCACATGGGTTACGCGAGGGTGGTCCCCCAGCGCGGCCTCTATTCCGTGACACTCTCGCAGGATCGTGGCAGGAGTGCACTTTCTCGACACCAGAGAGGGTGCGCAGAAGGTGGTCCCTCAGCGCGGCCTCTATCCGTGACACGCTCGCCGATCGTGGCAGGAGTGGCACTTTCTCGACACCAGAGAGGGTGCGCAGAGGGTGGTCCCTCAGCGCGGCCTCTATCCGTGACACGCTCCCAGATCGTGGCAGGAGTGGCACTTTCTCGACACCACCGGGGGTGCGCAGAGGGTGGTCCCTCAGCGCGGCCTCTATCCGTGACACGCTCGCAGATCGTGGCAGGAGTGGCACTTTCTCGACACCACAGAGGGTGCGCAGAAGGTGGTCCCTCAGCGCGGCCTCTATCCGTGACACGCTCGCAGATCGTGGCAGGAATGACACTTTCTCGACACCACAAGGGGGTGCGCAGAGGGTGGTCCCTCAACGCGGCCTCTATCCGTGACACGCTCGCAGATCGTGGCAGGAATGGCACTTTCTCGACGCCACAGGGGGTGCGCAGAGGGTGGTCCCTCAGCGCGGCCTCTATCCGTGACACGCTCGCAGATCGTGGCAGGAGTGGCACTTTCTCGACACCACAGGGGGTGCGCAGAGGGTGATCCCTCAGCGCGGCCTACATCCGTGACACGCTCGCAGATCGTGGCAGGAAGGGCACTGTCTCGACACCACAAGGGGTGCGCAGAGGGTGGTCCCTCAGCGCGGCCTCTATCCGTGACACGCTCGCAGATCGTGGCAGGAGTGGCACTTTCTCGACACCACAGGGGGTGAGCAGAGGGTGGTCCCTCAGCGCGGCCTCGCCTCTATCCGTGACACGCTCGCAGATCGTGGCAGGAGTGGCATTTTCTCGACACCACAGGGGGTGCGCAGAGGGTGGTCCGTCAGCGCGGCCTCTATCCGTGACACGCTCGCAGATCGTGGCAGGAGTGGCACTTTCTCGACACCACAGGGGGTGCGCAGAGGGTTGTCCCTCAGCGCGGCCTCTATCCGTGACACGCTCGCAGATCGTGGCAGGAGTGGCACTTTCTCAACACCCGAAGAGTGCGAGGGGTGTCCCGCGCGCGGCGCTCTCCGTGACAGAATTCGCGCGTGGGCAGGAGTGGTGCCCAAAACAAACCTTTTTTTTTCTCAACACCACAGGGGTGCGCAGAGGGTGGTCCCTCAGCGCGGGCCGCTATGCACGACGGTTCGGAAGGGGCAAGCGGCGTGGCTTTTCTGAAAGAGCGTGTTCTAAACCGCTGCTGCGGAAAACCGGGGCCGGCGGGGGTCACTACCCGGTTCGAACCCCTCCACCCCCCCCCCCCCCCCCCCCCCCCCCCTCCGAAAACACGGGGGGTAGAGGTAGCTACCGTTCGAACCCCTCCCCCCCCCACCCCTTCTCATCATGAAGGAAAACCAGGGGGTCCACTACCAGTTCGAACCCTCCCCCCCCCCCCCCCCCTCCACTCCGGATCCGGCCGGCAAATCGGGGGGGTCACTACCGGTTCGAACCCCCCCCCCCCTCCCCTCGAAAACCGAGTGGGGGTGCGGACAGTGGTGGGGACGGTGTTGGTGGGGACAGTGGTGAGGGGACAGCGGGACAGTGGTGGGGACAGTGGGACAGTGGAACAGTGGTGGGAAAACCGAGTGGGGGTGCGGACAGTGGTGGGTACGGTGTTGGTGGGGACAGTGGTGAGGGGATAGCGGGACAGTGGTGGGGACAGTGGGACAGTGGGACAGTGGTGGGGACGGTAGTGGTGGGGACAGTGGTGGGGACAATGGTGGGAACAGGGGGGGGGCAGTGGACAGTGGTGGTGACGGTGGTGGTGGGGACAGTGGTGTGGGGACAATGGGAATGAGGTGGAAACAGTGGGACAGTGGAGGGTACAATGGTGGTGGGGACAGTGGTGAAGGCGGTGGCGAGGACGGCGGTGGGACAATGGGACAGAGGTACAGTGGGGACAGTGGTGGGGACAGTGGGGACAGTGGTGGGAACAGTGGGACAGCTCAGTGGGACAGCGGAGGAGTCAGTGGGACAGTGGGGACAGTGGGGATAGTCGGGCAGGGGTTGGGGCCGTGGAGACAGTGGGGAGAGTGGAACCGTGGTGGGAACAGTTCTGGGGACAGCGGGGACAGTGCGACAGTGGTGGGGGCACTGGTGGGGAGAGTAGGGGCGGTGGTGGAACCAGTGGGGACAGTGGTGGTGAGGTGAGGACAGTGGTGCTGGGAACACCAGTGGGGGATGTGATGCGGACGGTGGTGGGGACCGGGAGTCGTTTGCTGGCGGTGAGTAGGGGGGGGGGGGAAAGGGGAAGGGGGGGTGCGAACCGGTAGTGGCCCCCTCCAGTTTTCCGGATCCGGAGGGTAGGGGGGGGGGGGGGGGGTCGAAACCGGTAGTGACCCCCCCCGGTTTTCGAGCGGGAGGGGGGGGGGGTGTGTTTTTGGTTAGGGGAGGGGGGGGTTTTTGCAGGGGCGGCGGTGGATACACGGCGGTCTGTTCCATTTTCTCGACACCATAGAGGGTGCACAGGGGGTGGTCCCTCACCGCGGCCGCTGTGCACGACGGTCGTCCAGGGCACTTTCTCGACACCATAGAGGGTGCGCAGGGGGTGGTCCCTCACCGCCGCCGCTGGCTGGCTCGAATCTGTCCTCGATGGAGGATAGAAGGCTAGGAAGAGGGAGGAGGTTCAAGCAATATGGCGTTGGATGACACATAGGGGAACATTCGCGACGAGGGCTCAGAACGCAGAATTGCGCATAGATTATGAACTCAAGCAAACACATAAGATTTAAATTAAGTATGTGGGGTTCCTCGGTAGCGTAATTGTTGTTGGTTGTGTTGTTGTTGTTGTTCATTAGTTACTGTGTGTTGCGTGTTGTTTGTTGTTTGTTGTCGTCGTCTCGCCCGCGACCCAGCCCGCGACCCAACCGCGACCCACCCGCGAACCGCCCCGCGACCCACCCCGCGACCCACCCGCGACCCACCCACCCGCGGCCCACCCGCGACCCACCCCGCGACCCGCCCGCGACCCGCCCGTGACCCACCCGCGACCAACCGCGCGGCCCGAGTTCGACACACCCGCGACCCACCGCGACACACCCGCGACCCGCCCGCGACCCACGCGCGAACCACTCGCAACCCACCCGCGACCCACCCCGCGACCCCTCCGCGACTCGCCCACGACCCACCCCACGCCCGCCCCCTTATTCTTATCCACAACTGCGGGGTGGCCTGAATGTATATATATATATATACACATACATATGTGTGTATGTATGTAGGTATGTTTGTACGTTCGTACGTACGTACGTACGTATGTATGTATGTATGTATGTATGTGTGTGTATGTATGTGTGTATGCGTGTATGTATGTATGTATGTATGTATGAATGAATGAATGAATGAATGAATGAATGAATTTATGTATATATGTGTGTATGTCTGTATGTATGTATGCATGCATGCATGCATGCATGCATGTATGTATGTATGTATGTATGTATGTGTGTATGTGTGTATGTGTGTATGTGTGTATGTATGTATGTATGTATGTATGTATGTATGTATGTATGTATGTATGTATGTATGTATGTATGTACGTGTATGATAATATGTTGTATCTCGCTCTCTCTTTCTCTTATCTTCCCCTCCCCCCTGCAACTGATCACCCTTCCCGTCCTCTAGTCTGCCGCGTTCTTTCAGTGTGTCTCGCCTCCCTGCAGGCTCTCTTCCTCTGGCCCCCCCCCCTACGCCCCCAAGGCGTGGGCCATGACGGGTGACTGCAACGTCTTCTGGAATTGGACGGACAGCTCGAATTGGGAGGATCGGACGGGGCTAGGACGAGGATAGATCAGTTCCAGGGCGTTCCGGAACGCTCTCAGAGCGTTCCGGCACGCTCTGGGAAGGCCGCGACGCCCGAGATACATTTTCCAGAGCCGCAGGATCTCAGATATTCTCGATTTACAGTAAAATAATCAAAATAAGGACGCGTCTTTGCTCTTCCTTGCTCTTGCGTCCTTGGGGTTTTCGTCGTCCGCCGCCCCCAAAAATCCCAACTTCGGCTTCCAAGGGTCTTGCGTCCTTACCGCGCGTTCTTATTAGGGTTCTTGACTGTATACCCACCCGAATTTATCCTCGGCCTGGCTTCGTCTTAGAGGAGGCCAGAGACGGCGCGGTGCGCCTCTGCAGCGAGCAGGCCTCCGCGCCCGTGCGGGGGGGGAGGGCGGCGGGCCTTTCCCCTCTGCCGTGCCGAAGCGGAGGGGGCCGTGCCGCGGGGGGCACGCCGTGGCGCGACGGCGAGCCGGCGGCGGAGCGGTCTGCCAGGAGGGCACCGCGTGTGCTGCTGCTCGTGTTCCTGGTCCCTCCTCCTCCCCCTCCTCCTCCTCCTCCTCCTCCTCCTCCTCCTCTCCTCCTCCTCCTCCTTCCTCCTCCTCCTCCATCCTCCTCCTCCTCCTCCTCCTCCTCCTCCTCCTCCTCCTCCTCCATCCTCTCCTTCATACTGGACAGGTCGCTTCTCGGTGTCCCCGCTTAGCTCTGTCGCTGGTGCAGCCATTCTGCCTCGCCGCCGACGAGAAAGGGCTCCTGGTCGTTCGGGCGGGCTTCGACACGCGCGCGCTTCGCTGTTTTCCTACCTTCCGCGCCCTGTGGCCGCGCGCAGGGCCGCGGCGCCAAAGGTCGGCCACGCGCAGAGGGAGGGTAGGGGGAGGGGGAAGCACCCCTGCTTCTCGGAAGGCGCGGGCCTTGCTTGCAGATGTGAGGCCCGCGCCTTCGAAGAGGCAGGGGTGCTTCTAAGAAGCCTCCCCCCCTCCCCCATGCCCCCCTCTGCGCGCCGCCAGCAGAGGAAGTGCGCATGGTCGTGGGTGCGTGCTCGCGCGTGTTCCGCCCTCCAGCCGCCTGAGGCCCCGCCTTCCTGTGTGTCTCCCTAATTTAAGCTGTGCGTAGCCCGCCTAGCTTTTAGCGGAAGAGGTTCGCTCTCGCCCCGCAGATCCAAAAGTTCCGCCCTCTGGCCCTGCTGTTCCCGCCGCCCCCTCCCGCCCCTTCCGTCGCCACCGCGTGCCCCTCGGCGCTCGCCCCTGCGCGCGCAGGGAGGGCGCCGAGGCAAGGGCGGCTGCGGGCTCGGGAGGGGCTTCGCTTTTCGGGCCGCTCCTTCGTGGCGAACCTCCTCCTCCCCCTCCTCCTCCTCCCTCCTCCCCCTCCTCCTCCTCCTCCTCCTCATCATCCTCCTCCTCCTCCTCCTCCTCCTCTCCTCCTCCTCCTCCTCCTCCTCCCTCCTCCTCCTCCTCCTCCCCTCCTCCTCCTCCTCCTCCTCCTCATCCTCCTCCCTTCGAGCTGCCTGGTCGGGGGAACTGTTCGCGGCCGAGGCTCGCCGTGGCCAGGCAGGGCCCTTTTCGTCGCTGTTTCCTTCCGCGCTCCGCGTGGTGGCAGGGTGGCTGCAGTCCTCCGGCGTGTTCCCGCCTCCGCGGGGCCCTCCCCCCCACTAGACGAGCTTGTCTGTGCCAGATTCGGCCAGATGCTTTCGGCCAGTGGTTCACAGCATAGAGAGAGAGAGAGAGAAAGACAGAGAAAGAGAGAGAGAGAGAGGGAAAGAGAAAGAGGGAAGCAGGCGACGCTGATGGATGCAAGTCCGCCTCGTGAGGCCTCCAAGTTCAAGCGACCTGACTGCCACTTGTTCGACGCCAACGGGGAGAAGTGCCACCCGGCCGCTGTTCCTCCTACATGTCCTTCTGTTGTGGTGTTCTCACGTTTGTGTAGATGCATCTCGGTTTTTTGCGCGGGATTGTGTACGTCTGCGCATGCTCGATTTTACGTGCGGCGCGCTTTCTCTTGTTCCCCCTCCTCCCCTCCTCCCTCCTGTTCTTCCCTCCTCCCCCGCCTTCCTTCCCCCCCGCACTCCCCCCCGCACTCCTCCACCCCCCACATCCTTCATTCCTCACTCCTTCCGCAGCTATCCAGTGACCTTCGGCCCATCCCGCCACCGCGCCTGGGTTGTAGGTCAGAAGCTTCTTAAATGCCCGAAAGGATTTCTTGGGAGGCTTCTCGGAAGCCTCTTGGAGGCGGTTTTGGGGTTGCGGGCCTCTTGGGCCACCCTCCTGCCCACCTATCGAAGATGGGGGGATAGGACGAGCACGACGACAGCGGCGGCGGTGGTGGCGGCGGCGGTGGTGGTGGCGGCGGCGGCGGCGGTGGTGGCGGCGGCGGCGACAGCGGCGGCGGTGACAGCGGCGGCGGTGACAGTGGCGGTGGCGGCCGCTCTCCTCAGCTCGACGCCGTGTGGAACCATTCGCGGGGACGGTACGACTGGGACTTCCTGGAGGGCAAGGACGCTGGAAGGGGGGATCGGGGAGGAGGGGGAGGAGAAGGAGCAGCAGCAGCAGCAGCAGGAGGAGAAGGCTACAGGTTCGTCGCGATGCCCTTCCTTATCGCCACGCTTGGCGAAAGTCAGACTAGTAGAGGGCGAAGTAAAGCCTTTGTTGCAGGAGGAGGGAAGGGGACCTTTGGAAAGGCCGCTGGGTACACTGGGTCTCTGTCTCTTCCTCTTCCTGTGCGCGCATTTGTTTGCAAGTGTGGACCCCCCGTTGATCCCTCGACCTCAGGGCTGCGCGCAGCAGCAGGAGGAGGAGGAGGAGGAGGAGGAGAAGGAAGCGCGGCCGCGTTCACAAAAGGGTCGTCGTCGCCGCGGCAGCGTTTTAAGTCCATGCGGGTGACGATGCGCGCAGCCCTCCGGGCCTCAGGAGGAGGAGGAGGAGCAAGAGGAGGAGGCGGAGGATGTCTCGGAAACGAGCCGCCCGCCCCTGAGACGCGATGGGGGATTTGCGCAAGAACTGGCGTGAGAGACGGCTGGCCCTGGAGGGGCCCCCGAACTCTGCGAACAGAGCAGAAGAGAGAGGAGCAGGGGCTGCAGAAGTAGAATAACAAGAAACGGCACAGACGATGACACCGTGGGGAGCCGCGCGGACGTCAGGTGCGCCACCCGTCGCGGAAAGGGGCGGCGCCAGATGCGCCGCCAGATCCGCACCGACCTCCGGAAGCAGATGTTTATGCCGTGCTTTCTGAGCGGGGCGCCCTGGATGCCCTGCCTCGGCCTCCTGGAGAGGGGGGGGCTCGCTGCCTCTGGCTGGAGCCGCCTCGAGATCGTGATCCGAGCGCAGCCCAGCGCGGATCCAGGGGGCGATTTGCGAGGGCGGAGGAGGAGGAGGAGGAGGAGGAGGAGGAGGCTCAAGACGTCTCGGCCCAAAGGGCCATGGGGTGCCTCGCCGGACAGGGCCCTGGGCATCGGCAGCAGCAGTGCGATGTCAATCTCGCTTCTCTCTCGCGCGGCCTTTTGTGAACGTGGGCGGCGAAGCACAGCCCTGAGAGAGACCACTGTCAGAGCTTAGCATCGCTCGGACGTGTGCATTTTTCCTTCGGCGAGGACCATCGAGGAGCATCCTTGACCATTTGGCGAAAAAATCACGCACGAAACCGAAAAAAGTACAGGGAATGGACGTCCGAGCGATGGCCAGATAGTGGGTGGAGAAGTGAGGAAGTGGCCATGTGAGAAGCGTGCGAGAGAAAGCGGAGGGGACTTCCGGGGCGAGGGGAAGGAGTCTGGGTGAGCTCCTTCGGTGGTCGGGCTCCCCTAGTGCGCAAGGACCCAGGGCCGCAGATCGCAGTCGCTCGTGAGGGGCGAGGAGGAGGAAGAAAACCAGTGCAAACCCAAAACGCATCGACGATGTTGCAATAAGCCCTCCCTCACAACTCCCTCTTCACAGGCCCCTGCAAATATTTAGAATTCATTGCGGGAAGCGCCCCATTAGAAGCAACCGTGTGAGAATCGCGAATCGTGCCAAAACACAGTTCTTGGCACTTCAACGCCAGAGATCAACGTAGCTGTTGCGTCCTGACAAGTTTAACTCACACCAGAACACAATTCCTGGGACTTCAAACACCGCGAATCAGCGTTACCCCTGCGTCCTAAGAGTTCTACGTCGTGCCAGAGGTACCGTTCCTGGGATTTCAACCATGCCAACCCTCGAAGCTGCCCCAAAGATTAAAGACACATGCGCGCGGCGGTCAGGCGAGAGCCACAGATTCAAAAAAGTTGAAGTCGAACCGTTCTCTATTATGAAACTGTTGGGGATGTTGTTGACGAATGCGCGCGGCGCAAAGGCGAGAACCACATGTTGAAAACGACCAGCCCCCGATCCTTGAAATTGCTGCAACGTTTGAAGGCGAATGCGCGCGGCGCTCAGGCGAGAGCCACACTTCCATCCTTGAAGTTCCTGCAAGCTGTTCAGATGATTGCGCGCGGCGCTAAGGCGAGAGCCACGTTTTGGAAAGGAGCCGCTGTCCAAACTTGAAGTTGTTCCACTGCTCCAGCGTCCGGAGCACAAGTGGTGAGCAAGTGTCCGACGAAGCGCACGACCTGCCCTTCCGACGCGCTGGGGGGTGCGACAGGGAGGAGTGGTTGATAAGGAGCAGACATGGAGGAGGAGGAGGAGGAGGAGGAGGAGGTGGAGGACCATGATGATGAGGAGCAGGACGAGGATGAGAGATTTGTGGATGTTCCGGGATGCTTCCGAAAGGACCTTGACGCATCCGTTGCTTGTCGGAGCGATTCGGGTGGTGTTCGCAGGAAGGGCGAAACTTAGGTTATAGGTCCGCTTTCGGGGTTTGGTCATATTACACGGAGGTGCACAGGTTCCTGAAGATTTCAGGAGGCTACGGGGGGGGGTCGCGAAGGAGGAAAAGGAGGTCTCGCGAGTTTGTTTGTTTGTCTGTCTGTGTGTTTGTCGGTAGTAGTTAGTTTGTTTGGTTGTGTGCTTGTTCGATTGTTTGTGTGGTTGTTTGTTTGTTTGTTTGTTTGGTTGTGTGTGTGTTGCCTGTTGGTTTGTTTGCTTGATTGGTTATTTGTTTGTTTGTTTTGTTGTGTGATTGTTTGTGTTCAGTTGTTTGTGTGTGTGTCTGTGTGTTGGCTTGTCCGTTATGTTTGACAGCGCTAAGGGGACGGGTGGTTCTGGAGAATGTGAGCGGCTGTATGATATGTACGGAAGTTCATGGATATGTGGGCCAGGGATAACGAGCGACGAACGAAGAGGGGAAATAGTTGGGAAAGGGGCAGGACGAAGGGAAAGGGAAAAATAGGAGGAAGAGGAGGAGGAGGTGGTGGAGAGGGCCTCATTGATGGATTGTCTGGCTTGAAGAGATGTGTGGTGTTTCCAGATGTTCTCGGGAGTCATGGGGGGTGGTCTGGAGGAGGACGGAGGAGGAGGAGGAGGTGGAGGAGCGAGGATAAGGCTTCCTGGGTCGGATGATATTGAGAGCATGGTAGAGGTGCGGGGGCTCGTGAAAACTCCTGGAGGCCAGGTGGTTCGATAAGGAGGAAAAGGAGGAGGCACAGATTTCGTGGGTTTGGGGGACGTTTTGGGACGGTCCTGGTGGGTTGGGGAAGTTGTCGGCGGTTCCTGAAGATTCACACGTGTTTCCAGGCGGGGAAGAGGAAAAAAGAGCAACGACGAGGAGATATTGTTTGGGAAGATGGGGGGGAGAAGAGGAGGAGTAGGTTGAGGAGGAAAAGGAGGAGAAGGAAGGTGGAGAATGAGGAGGGGAGGACACGGAGGGGAAAGAGGAGGAACAGGTTCCGTGGCTTCAGTCCCCGCAGTGCGTTGTGCTTGGGGCTCTGGCTTGGGCCAGTTTGTACATTGAGGCCCCAGCTCAGGGCTACTCCGACGGTGCTAGTGTTGTTTTGCATCAAGGCCTTGAGGTCTCTGAAGCCCTGAGTGCCGAAAGGCAGTATCCAGGGTTGGTCCTGCAGATTTGATACAGTTGTAAGCAAGTTCCGTAAGTCTCTGCAGATGGTCGACGCTCATAGGGGCACCAACGATGCTTAGATTTGCTCAGCCGACAGGCTTAATTGTCTCGGCAATTGTTATGCTGATCTGGCAGCCAAGAAGGAAACAAGTTTTCACCCTGAGTTGATGCCGTTCGAGGTTGAAACGATAGACTGGCGCATCAAATTGGTTCGTAATGTTCTGTTGGCAGTTGCGGGGATTCCTTGCTCTGGCCCATACCCGAGTTTCGTGGCATTCAAAGTGTCAAGTCTATTCCTCCCCTCTTCTGCGTCCTGTTGCTGCCTCAGCTGCCTCCCGTCCAAAGCATCAATGGGAAAGCATGAGAGGCGTCTGGAGGTGCAGGGTTTGTCTGCGAGGATCGTTGGCTGACTCGTTCCCCACATCGTCTGGATGTGCTGGCTGGTCCCGTTTGGACTTCGGCGTTGCTGCAGAGATTAGAGCACCACGCTATTGCACTCTACTGCTCCGACAATTCATCTGTGTTCGTTCGCTCGCGCTGTACATGTTATAGCTCGGAGCCCAAGTCAAAGGCCTGGGCTGTGTTTGCAAGCTTCCCGCCATCACTAGAAGGCACGCGTGCCAGGCGCGCCTGGTGCGCCAGATGCGCCGCGTGCTCCACGTGCGCCAAGTGTGCCACGTGCTCCAGCCGCGCCAGGTGTGCCACATGCGCGACGCGCGCAGATTGTGCCGGGTGCGCCAGCGCACGTGGCAGCACACATCAGGAAGCACGTCGTCCCCGCCCCACCACCACCATGCTTGACAGAGGCCATACCAGGTGCCAGCAGTGTGGCCATCGTGGCGTATGACATGTGCATCCGCAGTCACGTTGCATTGGCGTTTGACTGATGTCTGCTACACTTGCGCACCTGTCAGATGCATGGACTGCGAACATCGGGCAATGTTTTACCCCCCCGCCGTCCCTTCCAGAAAACAGCACAAGAGATCGCGGGGAGCCCGCAGGATAGAATATTCTGCCGCCGCGTATATTTGCATTCTAGTACGATATGGATGGTGGGTGGGTCGAGTTGGGGAAGGCGTGTTTATCAATGAGGAGCCCAGATAGGCCCCTCCCCAACTTGGAAGAAGGGGATTGGAAGATCGAAGTCGCTTAACCACTCGTGCCCCAAAGGCCTTGCGAGATGCACAGGCGGAGGAAGAACGGCGTACAAGCATGGGGGGCAAGGGTTATGATGTTCCAACCTACTTTAGCCTTGATCACCATAAAGAATTTCGAGCACCAAGAAAGCATCGAAACTGAAGGGTTTTCACGTGTCGGGCCCTGGGAGGCGATACTTGTTCGACACTTTTCGATCCTTTTCTGAGAGTTCGAAATTATTACAAAGGCCTTACGGCCGGTGCCGCCGACCCTGAAGACGACGACGACGAATACGAGGAAGAGGAGGAGAGGGATTAAGGTGGAAGGGAGAAGGCGAAGGAGATGTTCCCCATGTGGGCCGAGGGAGTCGTAGCAGAGACAGACAGGGAGCCTTGTGGCCTTCGGCCCTTTCCGCCACCGTGCTGGGGTTGTGGTTGAAAGGCCTCTTGGATGTTTTCGGGCCTGTTGGGGCCTCTGTTGGGCCTCTTGGGGCTCTCTTGGGGGTCTCCTGGGGGCCTCTTCGGGCCCCTTGAGGGGCTCTTGGGGCCTTCTGGGGGCTTCTTGGGGCGGGAAGCTCGAAATGTCGGTTCGTGGTCCTCTTCTTGGGCCTGCTTGGGGCCCTCTTGGCGCGTCTTGGCGCTTTTTGGGGCTCCGGGACTCCCAGGGCGGATGCGCATCTGAACACCCCCCCCCCGGGACCCCCTCGGGACCCCTCACCCTGGAGGGATCAAAGGGAAGGGGCTTCCCTTCGACTTAACGTACGACGTTGCTACGGTATTTTCTCGCTGGCAGGCTTGAAGACGAGGGTGCAGGGAAAGGGGGCGACGGAGGCGCAGGGAAAGAGGACAACGGATGCGTCGACTGGGCGCACGCCGACAGGGGGTCCACACGCCGACAGGGCCGGCGGAGTTTGCGGTGTCTGAGCCTCGCTCGCCCCGCCCCTTCTCATCTTGCCCGGCGCCCTCACACGCTGGTCGACTGCTCTGCACACGGTCTGTCGCCCGCGTCGGCTCGTCGCCCGGCGGCCAGCCCTGCGGTGCTCGCGTGCTCCACGCGTTGCTCCCGGATGGCTCTGCCCTCCGACGGCGCGACGGTTTCGACACGCGTGCCCCTGTGGGGACCTTGGCCTCCTGCTGGGGACCGGCTCCTCAGGCCAGCGGAGCGGCCTCTGAAGGCCAGACGCATACAGAAGTTCTTGATGCTTCGCGCATCCTCACCAGCCAATCCAGTGACGATGCCCAGAAGAGCTGCCCTCCCCAGAGGAGCGCTGCATCACTTGGATGCAGTGGGGGCGCGCATCAAAAAACCGCGTACTTGTCGTCAGTGTACCCTGGGTTTCTTCGCTCCGCGCGCTGCGCGGTGACTTTCCGCAGCCATTGAAGAAGCTGCTGCGTTCAGGGTGCTCTGGGTTTCCCCTCAGGTGCACCTCGCGCGCGGGTTTTCAGGGTTGGGTTTCTTGCGAGGGTTTCTTGCGGCCGCGCCCGCACTGTATCTCAGGGAGCCTCAGTGAACCAGAGGCCCCCTGGATGCCTCTCTCGGATTCGTTTGGGGTGTCTCTTGGGGGAGCTCCTGGTGGCCTCCTAGGGTGTCTTGGGGACCGCTTGGGGGGCCCTCTGTGGAGCCCTGGAGGCCATTAGATTCCAAGGGGATCCTATTCGATTCCGTAGGCCTCCTCGCTCTGGCCTCCTCGCTCTCCTGGTTTTCTTCCTCGTCTTCCTCCTCCTCCTCCTCCTCCTCCTCCTCCTCCTTTTCCTCCGCCTCCTCCTCCTCTTCCTCCTCCTCCTCCTCCTCCTCCTCCTCGTGCCCCTTGGAGGACATCGATCAAAGAGGAGGGGGGTCTTGGCGCCCCCCCCCCCCTTCCGGAAGCCCAAAATTCGCCTCGTGGCGCCCTCTTGGGGCGCCCTCGTGGGGCGCTCTTGGGGTATTTGGGGCCGCCCCTCGCGGGGCGTTCTCGGGCCCTCTCGGAGCTCTCTGGAGGCCTCGGGAGGCCATCGAAGGCGCAGATGTGAGACGGCAAAAGTTATGTTCCGTAGGCGTTGCAAAGATGCGGGCCTTGTGGGGACGTCCAGGGGGAAAGGCCACCAGGACCCGTCGTGGAGCGGTCTTGGGACCCCTTGGAGTAAGTTGGAAGCCATCTTGCGCTATCTCGAGCCAGCTTGGAGGCCATCTTGGTCTATCTGGAGCCCTCTTGGAGCTGTCTTGGGTTTCTGGGGCGCTCTAACTACCCGCCGCCCCCCCGTCCAGACCCAGTGGGAGGGGCGAGGGGGAGGAGTAAACCCCTCCCCGAAGGGGAAGCGAGGGTTCCACCGACATACGCCTCTACAGGGCTGGTGGGATTGGCCGTCACTAGTTTTGTTACGACGCCCGGTTCTGAGGCATGGCAGGGCCACCCACGATTTGGTTCGACACGTTTCGATTCGCGGGCTGGGCCCACGATTCCGATTCGATTCGATTCTGCTCGACTCACCAGCATCGGCCGGGGCCAGCTAGAGATAGGCTCGGCGACCCGACTTCGATTCGATCCACGTCGACTCGTTGACGATCCGAGCCGTTTCCGATCCGATCCGGCTTCGCGACTCGATCCAGCTCAGGCCTGGATGCGTCTTTGCATCTTCCGCCCTCGAGCCTCGCCGTGCGCATGCGGTGGCGTCTCGCGCCGCGTCAGGAGGGCGAGAAGCACGCTGCCCCCGAGCCGCCGGCCCCGTTCACCCCCGTGGAGGTGATGCCCTGGAAGGAGGCGTGCTCGGCGCCAAACCGCCGATCGGCATCGAGCGAGTGCAGACCTCCAGCGTCTTGTGAAAGCAGTGCGGAGGTGTTTCATTGCTCCTCCCCCGCCCCCTTCCCTTCCCCCTCCTCCCGACCCCCTCCTCCCCCTCCTCCTATTCCTCCTCCTCCTCCTCCTCCTCCTCCTCCTCCTCCTCCTCCTCCTCCTCCTCCTCCTCCTCCTCCTCCTCCTCCTCCCCCCCTTCGGCCTACGGGAGCCCTCGCCAGGCCCGGGGACTGTCAAAAACAACTCGGGGTGAAGATGTGGTCTTGGGGAAATGGTCAGGATTTCGGGGGCCTCACAGAGAACAAATCAAGGCATCAGATTTCTGGGAATGTTTGTGTGTCATCCTCCTCCTCCTCCTCCTCCTCCTCCTCCCCTCCTCCTCCTCCTCCTCCTCCTCCTCCTCCTCCTCCTCCTCCTCCTCGTCCTGCTCCTCCTCCTCCTCCTCCTCCTCCCCCTCCTCCTCCTCCGCCTCCTGCTCCTCCTCCTCCTGCTCCTCCTCCTCCTCCTCCGCCGCCCAGGCCCACAGGGCAAGCCAGGCGATATTATTTTCTTTTGTGGGAATGTATTTTCGCTGTTTGCTTGGTGTCAAGAGGCGTTCTGGTGGTCAGTTTGTTTTCGAGTATCTCATCCCGCCCCTGGGCATCGGCAGCTGGAGGGACATGAGCGTCACACGCAATATGGTGAACGGCTTTTCTGTCCTGGTGCGGGTCTTCCTGATCGTCGCGTCCCTCGTCGTGGTCAGGGGGTGGAGTGCTCCATGTATCTATTGCTTCGCAATCTCTCCGAGGTCCTCTGAGCGGGCGAGGCTTAATCGTATGAACCACTACGTGGGATAGCCTGTTCCTGCTCCTCCTCCTCCTCCTCCTCCTCCTCCCCCCCACCTTCGGCCTACGGGGGCCCTCGCCAGGCCCTGGGACTGTCAAAAAACAACTGGGGGTGAAGAGGTGGCCTTGGGGAAATGGTTAGGATTTCGGGAGCCTCGCAGAGAGCAAATCAAGGCATCGGATATCTGGGAATGTTTGTGTGTCCTCCTCCTCCTCCTCCTCCTCCTCTTCCTCGTCCTCGTCCTCCTCCTCCTCCTCCTCCTCCTCCTCCTCCTCCTCCTCCTCCTCCTCCTCCTCCTCCTGCCACACCTCGCTGAGCGACGCCTGAGCTCGCTGCCGCTGCTCATCCTTGCCCCGCGCGCTGGTCCCAGCGGCGCGGCTGGCGTGGGCTGACCCGTAGCAGATCGTCTTGGAGAGTCTACGCGCCTGCGAGGCTTGAGTATCGCCTGCGTGCTCAATGGCGTGCGTACTGGCCTGCCTGCGCGGGTGCTGGCCCAGAGGCCCGACACCGAGCGGCTTGCTCGCTTGCTTCTGTTCTTGCGGTTGCCTCGAGTGCTTGTTCGTCCGTTGATTGCCGCTCGCCGATGCCTGCTCTCGCACGCTGCTGTTTGATACTCCTTCCCGCTGCTGGCTGGTTGTTGCTGGTGTGTGTGTGTGTGTGTGCTGCCGCTTCCCCGAGCTTGTGGCTGCTGGTTGGTGTTGCGCGCCGGGTGTTGGTTGAGGCTCGCCCTCCCAGAGTCAATAGTACATTTCACAGCGTGGTGTTCGAAGCGTCGGGCGACGAGCCAACTGCAAGCGGCTCATGCCAGTGCCCCGAAAAATGTCAGTCAAGCGCGCTTCGGAGCGACACTGTCCTTGAGTCCTCCTCCTGCTTTATCCTCTCCCTCATCCGTCAAACTCCAAATCCAGCAAATCTATGTATGTGCGCACGTACGCCGCCATGTGATTCGCACACGATCGAGTTGCCACGCCTCGGGCAATCACGATAGTGTATCTGTGTGTCTGACCCATCGGGCATTGAATGTTTGTCTCACAATTGTATGTTGGAAATGTGATTTTGTAGTGGAAGCATTTCCCATCGCGAGCAGCGACCCACACACATAAACACACACAAGCGATGGGCGTGACAGAGTCTCTCACATTGCGTCTACCATGTGTCTGGCCCGTTCCTTCTTGACGGTTCCTTATGTTCGCGCGGTTATGTTCGAGCATAAGGCGATATTTCGTTGATTGGTTTGCCGGGATGACGGGGTCCGAATGGTCTTGCTTCTTCCCTGAGCGCGCGTGGCTCGATGGAGGGCTTGGCCTCTGGGGGCGATACTTGGAGGCGACAGTGCGATGATTGGCCGTTGTTGGTTGACAGCTTTGTTCTTGCTATTGTTATTCAAAGTTTCGCGCATTCCGCCGACCCATATTGCATAGCCCAGCCGTCTGCCTGCGTGTTCGTGGGCAGTGGGAAGGCGTTGGGCGGTGGTAATGTTCCCAAGATGTCGTGTGAAGCTCGCGCGGGGGAGAAGCATCCGCTTGGTAGATCGAGTCCAACACCCAACGGAACACGCTCCCACTCAATCCCGACATCAAAGCCAGAGCACACGAGTCGTTGTCGTCGGTCGTCGTCGTTGTCGTCGGTCATCGTCGTCGTCGTGGTCGGTCGGTCGCTCGGTCGGTCGGTTCGCCAGTCGGTCGGCCGGTCGTCGTCGGTCGACGTCGTTATCGTCGTCGGCTGGGCGGTCCGTTGTCGTCGTCGTGGGTCGGTCGGTCGGCCGGGCAGCCAGTCGGTCGTTGTCGTCGTCGGTCGTCGTCGTCGTCGTCGTCGTCGTCGTTGGTCGGCCGGGCGGTCGGTCGTCGTCATGGGTCGGTCGGTCGATCGGCCAGCCAGTCGGTAGGTCGTTTTCGGTCGTCGTTGTCGTCGTCGTCTTCGGTCGGCCAGGCCGTCGATCGGTTGGTCGGTCGTTGTCGTCGGTCGGCCGGCGGGTCGGCGAGTCGGTCGGTCGATCGGTCCGTCAGTCGTGCGGTCTTCGTCGTCGTCGGTCGCTCTTGCTTGTCGTCGACGTCGTCGGTCGGTCGGTCGCTCCCTCGGTCGTCGTCGTCGTAATCGTCGTCGTTAGGTCGGTCGTCGTCGTGGGTCGGTCGCGGTCGGTCGGTCGTCGTCAGCTTCGATCGTCGTCGTCGTCGTTGTCGTCGGCCAGTCGGTGGGCCGGCCGATTGGTCGTTGGTCGGTATGGATTATTGATTGGATTCGTGAGTTAATGGCTGGTACGTTTGCAAAGACATTCTATGATATTGTCTGGTTTTGATACAAAGCAGTGAATCTCGAATATTGCATTATTTCCCTTTCTGCCTCAGTCACGCAGGAGGGAAACCCTGCGTAGAATTGAGAGCCGTCGTCGTCGTCGGTCGTCGTCGCTCGGTCGGTCGTCTTCGTGTCAACAAGCGGCGGTTCGAGCCGCAGTGGCTACGGAATCCAGCATTACCATGCTTTGACATGCCCACCCGAGGGCAAAGAAATCGAAAGCAGAACTGTTCCCCTGTCTGCTGGGGCTTTAGGTCAGGAGGGGAAAAAAAAACACGGACACAATTAATCGTCGATTCCCAGGAAAATATGGGAAAATATGGGAAGTGGGGGGAAGACAAAAACCCAGAAAATATAGGAAGATATTGGGAATCATTTTATTTGTGTCTATTTATTTGTGCGTCCTGGGGCTCCTTCATTTTAGGGGCCATCTGCCATCTTGGGGCCTCCTCCCCACTGATCCCCGCTCTCGGGGCCAGCTTGAGACCATCGTGGAGCGCCCTTGTGGCCCTCGTGCCTTCGGAGCCCTCCTCCCTCCTCCCTCCTCCCTCCTCCCTCCTCCTCCTCCTCCTCCTCCTCCTCCTCCTCCTCCTCCTCCTCCTCCTCCTCCTCCTCCTCCTCCGTGCCTTCGGAGCCCTGTCAGAGCCATTTGGGGCTCCGCTCGGGACTGTGCTGGGCGATGTTATGTCACGACTGGTTCTTCAGAAGCACATCGGACGCGAAGAGACGAGAGCGTCAAAACCATGAATAGGCTTCGAGGTTTGGCATGTCTCGGGTACCGTTTGGGGGGCGAATCGAGCCTTATTGGCCCACCGTGCTCACAGATTAGGGCTTCTCAAGATTGGTCTGGGACCATCTTGAAGTTTACCGCCCATTGATTCCCGCTCTTGGGCCCTGGAGGGGCCCTCTTGAAATCGTTTGTGGGCGCTATTCGAGTCTTAGGACCTTGGCGTCCATGAGGGTTCCACCCGCAGACATGTTGGGCGATCCTGGAGCCATGTTGAGGCCTGAGAGGCCCATCGGGAGCGAAGAGGCGAGAGCGCCAAAATCAATGGGCACGAGCGCATGCCTTTGAAACACATTGGTTTCCTATCCGAGGAGAGGTTGTGTCCGATCGTGCTGGACCGTCTTGGTGCCCACCAGTCTGGCTTGGACCATCCTGGTCCATCTTGGCAGCACCGTGTGCCAGGGGCAAGGCGAGGGGAGGACGGGGGGAGGCGAGGGGAGGACGCGGAGGGGGAGGGATGGGGAGAAGGGGGGAGTATAAGGAGGGGGGAGGAGGAGGAGGAGGAGGAGGAGGAGGAGGAGGAGGAGGAGGAGGAGGAGGAGGAGGAAGAGGAGGAGGAGGAGGAGGAGGAGGAGGAGGAATAGGAGGAGGACACACGTTGATCGGCGCCCTTCGCGCGCCCTTGGGGGCCTGACGCCCAGGGTGTTCAACTCTGCGCTTTCGGGGGGAGCTTGGGCCGCAGTGGGGTCCGCAGACCCCCCAGGGGGGCACCCTCGCGCGCGGCCTGGAAAAACGAGACTCAACTTCACAGCTCGGGCCACACACTTTTGGTAGGTGGATCTCTCAAGCTCTCCGCCGCCTCTGGCGGTGTGCGCTGCGAGCGTGGCTTTGCTGTGTTCCTGCTCGCAGCGCACACCGCCAGAGGCGGCGGAGAGCTTGAGAGATCCACCTACCAAAAGTTCAGGCGATCGCAAACATGGATTAAGGGGGCGTGGATTAGCGACGGCTCCCGCTTCCATGGGAAATCGCGGATTTCCTCCGCCGAGCGAGGCGGCACCGGCCGCATTTTGGGGAGGGCACCTCCCCCGATCCATGGATTTGGCGACCGCGCGCCAAATCCATGGATCGCTAATCCATGTTTGCGCGCCCCCGAACAGTGGGGGCGCGCATCAAGAAGCCATATGCGTTTCGTCAGGGTACCCTGGGTCTCTTCGCTCCGCGCGCTGCGCGGTGACTCACCGCGGCCGTTGAAGGAGCTGCTCCGTTCAGGGTGCTCAAGGTTTCCCTTTCAGGTGCACCTCGCGCGCGGGTTTTCAGGGTTAGGCTTCTTGCAAGGGTTCCTTGCGGCCGCGCCCGCACGGCACTCATTTCCAGCATCCAGCACGCCGTTGGCCCTCTGGGTCGGCGAATCATTGCTTCCGTTGCCGCTTGCCACGGTGCAGTCGCAATCGCGACTGTTCTCGCGTCGAGTGTTATCATCGTCGCAGAGGTCCTCACCCTTCTCCGTCCGAATACATCTGCGTACCAGGCGAAGAAGTTGGCGAGCGACCTTGTATTATTCAAACTGTCTGACGAGGACTCGCGCCGCGCTTGCACTCTCGGAGTCGATACGGCCCTGGAATGTTCTCGCTCCACCGTGGCCACCGCCAAGTTCGTTGCGCGTGTTGGGCAATACCAGGGATCTGTCCGCCACCGCTCAAGCAGCCAGGGCGGCGGCTGTCGTGGCACATCGCGGATTCTTTGGGGAGCGGGGCGCAGTACGTCACGGATGCCGAATGCAGAGAAAATCAAGGCGGTGCCACGGTGGGGTCGCTCACCCATTTGAAATAGTTTATCCTTTTCTCTTGCCATGTCTTCCTTGCCACCCCGTCCCCCTTTAGCCCATTATCCCATCCCCTTCAGCTTCCGCCGCGTGAGCGGTACAACTCCGGGACCGAGCTGTGGCAGGGCAGCGTGCAGTGACAGCTCGTCAACTTGAAAGCGTAGAGGCGGCTTCGTCGCACGAGCGTCGGCTTCTCTTTTTGACCCGTCTTCCTTCCATACGGGGATTGACCAGGAGGGGAGAAAAACACACAGACAGAATTGGTCGTTGATTCCCCAAGGAATATGGGAAAATATGGGAATTGGGCGGGAAGACAAAAACCCAGAAAATATTAGAAAATATCGGGATTGTTTTTATTTGTGTGTATTTATTTGTGTGTCACAGGGCCCCTTCCATTGAGGTTGCATCGTGTGTCTGTTTCAGTCGGGATCGGCGGTGGCTCGGCCCCCAAGAAGCACATGCCAGGGCTCGACCCAAGCAGTGTTTTGGCGATTCTGTCGTCGGCCGTGCTTGTTTCGATGTTTCGTTTTGCAGCAAGGGCGGAACGAAGGCAAAACGACGAAACATTCAGACAAGCCCAGTACGAAAAACGTTGCGTAGATCAAGCCCTGACACATGCGTAGAATGAATGAGGCCCGACGTGTGTTCGGGTCGCTGGCGATCCAGGTAGGATGTGTTGCCCGAGAGTTCGTACCTTCGTACATGAAGCAGCAGCAGCAGCAGCACTCGCCCCCCCCCCGACAGCCTGCATACCGCGGCCGCCAGACCCAGCGTCGGTGCTCCCCGGAGATCCCGCCTTTTGCTCTTGGGTGAGGATCGCTCGAAGCAAAACACTTGCCTTCCGGGGTACAGTCGGGGCCCTGAAGAAGGAACCCTTTTCGTTGGGGAGGGGCTCCGCGTTCCTGAAGTGTTTCGCAGCTTGCCTCAGGTTTTCCTTATGTTCTCGATAGGGTATCGAAGTTCAACGTATGGAAAAAAAGGGGCCTCGTTCCTTGTTTAGGGTTCCTTAGGCCAGCGCCCCGACCGTATGGCCGGCGGCGGCCGGCGGCGTCTCGCTGGGGAGGGCGATCCCGGGAGGCGCGCGGTCCTTCGGCCGCTCCGCCGCAGCCACGGCGTGCCCGCGGGGGAGTTGGGGGCGCACCCCACCAGCGGGTTTCCCTGTCGGGCACGGCCACCGCGCTGCTGCGCCGTCCCGCGGGCGCGCGGGGCCCGCAGAGATAGAGAGAGAGAGAGGGGCGCAGTGGCCCAGGCCTCCCAGACGGGGTCCCTGGCATCGCTCGGACGTGTGCATTTTTCCCTCGGCGAGGACCATGGAGGAGCATTCTTGATCATTTGGCGAAAAAACCACGCACGAAACCAAAAAAAAAAAACAGGGAATGGACGTCCCAGCGATGGCCAGGGTCCGAGCAGATGGGGTCGGAGATCTGCGCCGCATGGCGGATGCATCGACGAGGTGGCTCACTGTGGAGCCCAAGGGTTCTCCACGCCGACGGCGCCGATGCATCCCCGATGCACCGGCGACGTACCGTCGATGCGGCGCGATACTCCGATCCCATCTACACGGACCCCATCTTGAACGAAGGATTGCAAAAAAACCGAAGGATTGCAAAAAAACCCAGGATTGCAAAAAAACCCGATTGCAAAAAAACCCTCCGAAAAAGGATTGCAATCCTTCGAAAAAGGATTGCAATCCTTCGTTCAAGTGGAGGCTCCTCATTGGGGCGCTCGCAGCATGGGTCGGCGCCAGCGGGGGTCAGCCAGCCCCCTCCCTCGGTCGGGGGACGTCAGCTGCCCACATCACCGATCCAAGCCAGGGTGGCGTGGCGCGCGCGCTGGTCCTGGGCCTAGGGTGGGCGCGACCAGGATCGGTGAGGTGGTCAGTTGACGGCCCCCCGGTCTGGCTGACCCAGGTTTGGCTCCCTCCTCTCACCGGCCTCGAACTGATCCCTATCTTTGAGACTGACACGCCAAAAGGCGATGACAATCTTAAGGGTGCGCTTTCAGAAACTGAGGAAATCCCTAAGATCGGTATCGTGATGAGGCGATGCCCAGCCTAGGGATATGGATATGTCCCAAGCTGGTAATCCTCCCGCCCCCTTCTCTCCACCGACGCCAGCTTGGGAGCTCCTGTGCGGCTGGCCGGGGTTGGCGGCGCGACGCTGGCTGGCCTGCGCTGGCGCCGAACCGGGGCTCAGCGCGTCCCCCGAGCGCAGGGCGGGTGCTGGGGGGGGGGACGAACTGCGTCCTCGAAAGGGGCACCGTAGGGCCCCTTTTGGGGCCCCTGCCGGCTCCAAGAGCGGCCCAAAGCTCCGAAGGGTCCCGCTGGGGCTTTTTTTCTTCGCCCCCAGGTCGCCCCCCCTCAGCACCCGCCCGGCGGAGCGCCGGGCGAGGAGCAGAGGGGGAGGGGAGGGAGAAGGGCAGGGCAGATGGGAGGAGGCAGGCAGGGAGGCATGTGGGGCCACAGGCCCGAAGGGCAGCAGAGAGCGGAGCGAGGCGGGTGATGGGCAGCAGGGCGGAGACGACGGAGGCGAAGGCAGGCGTGGGCGGCAGCTCGCCTGACCGGCTGAGCAGTGGGAGGCCATCGACGCACGGGCGCCACACCTTACAGTAGAGACCCATGCCAAGAAACACATTGCTTGCCTCCACTGTGCCCTGGGTTTCTTGGGTATCAATGGTTTTACTATGGGAAGCGCGACGTTCCCACGCCAAAAATCCATGGACGTCCTGGGGTCTCGGGGTTGGGTTTCTTGTGGAGGGTTTCTTGTGGACTGGCCTCCACTGTACGCACGCAATCACCACCGAGCCCGCGAGCTCAGTCTGCAGTAAGTCGCAGGGGCGGCTCGTGGCCAGGTGGCCCCTCCCAGGAGGTTCAGATCCGCATGTGCGAGGCGTCGCCGTGAGCCCTCCGGGCCCAGTTGCAGGCTGGAGCGGCGGCGGAGGCGCTTGCTGCGGGCTTGTCGGGACGAGGCTCGCTCGTTCCCCGTCCTGAGCGGAGATGAGAGTTCTGCCCGTTTCATCGGTCGTCCGTCGTCGTTGTTCGTCGTCGTGTCGCCCTCGTGGTCGTAGTCCTGCTCGTAGTCGTGATCGTCGTCCGTCGTCGTCCGTCGTCGCGGTCAGCGTGGAGGGTCGTCGTCCTCCTCCTCCTCCTCCTCCTCCTCCTCCTCCTCCTCCTCCTCCTCCTCCTCCTCCTCCTCCTCCTCCCCAGGAGAAGGTATCTCTGCTTCATGGAACCGACGGCAGCGGCGGACGCCACCACTATCCAAGTGGCTTTGCTCCCACCGCCGATGGTCTTCTCTTCGGCTTGGTGGGCCCGCAGGGCGGGGGCCTCTGCGGGCCCCCCCGCGAGGGGGAGCCAGCGCGCGAGCACCGCAGCGGGCGAGTGCTCCAAGGTATGGGGTTGGCCCTTGGGGCTGCCTTGAGGGTGTCGTTGTGCCGTTCGGGGGGGCTTTCTTGGGGCGGCCTGGGGCCTCTGTAGGAGGAGAGGGAGGAGGAGGAGGGGGAGGAGGAGGAGGAGGAGGAGGAGGAGGAGGAGGAGGAGGAGGAGGAGGAGGAGCAGGAGGAGGAGGAGGAGAAGGAGGAGGAGCAGGAGGAGGAGCAGGAGGAGGAGGAGCAGGATGAGGATCAGGAGGAGCAGGAGGAGCAGGAGGATGAGGAGGAGGCGGAGGGAGGAGGAGGAAGAGGAGGAGGAGGAGGAGGAGGAGGAGGAGGAGGAGGTGGTAGATAGATAGATGAGCGGCCTTGGGGAGCGGAGCAGTGCGTTCAGCCGCATGAATGTGCCCCCGCCGTCGCCGCTCAGAGCGGCACCTTCATTGTGATCGCGGCGCCACGCGCGCCGATCACTTGCCGAACGAGGCGTAGCCGAACGGCCATCCACTTGTTCTCATAGCCCAGCCTACCACACGGCCAGGTCGTCTTCCATGACTCCCGCAGGAGGCTTTCCCATCTTGACTGTGGCCCCCGCCTGGATCAGCGCCCTGTTGATGCTGTCCTTGATGTGGGCCTGCTTCATCTGCTCCTCGCTGGGTTCCTCCTCCGCTTCGGGATCGGGCCACAGTTCTTGCTCGATGTAAGTAGTGAGCTTCGCCATGTAGTTGTCGTAGCGCGTGCTGAGCTTCAGGTACTGGACCTTGCTGAGCACGGTGGCTACGTTGACCTGGTCCTCGAACTTCCCGTGCTCGGCTGGAAGGGTCCTCATCTTGGCGCCCGCGTCCTCGGTGTGGAGGGTCGAGATAGGCGTGGGGCAGATGTGGCCCTCTGGTGGGCCGTGCGCATGCCCCTTGCCCGCTTCCCTGCACTTCTCGGCGTAGATTTTCTTCAGTCTCACGGTGCTTTGATCACCTTGGTCTGCGTGGGCATCAGGTACGTGCTGTACACCGCGGAACCGACCCACTCGATCTGCTGTGTGTGGGCCAGCACTTGCTCGGTCAGCACGGTGAGCAGCTTCTTCCGCTTTGGGTCGCACTTGGTTTGGTAAGCTTCTCCCCCTCGTTGTTGTCGAGGAGGAGGAGGAGAAGGAGGAGCCTCTTGGGGCCATCCTGGAGTGGCCCAGGTCCACCTTGGACGCTCCACCCCCTCGCGGCAGCCTGGCCAGGGGCAGCCGCGGGGCAATGTGCCCCCTGGCCAGGGAAGGATCTCTCCTGCACTCGCGCGGCTTCGCCTCCCAGGCACGTACCAGCTGGCACGAGGGTTAGAAACTACCTCGGCTTGAGAGGGGTACCCTTATGTTATTTGGGCGCGGGCGATCTCCCCCTGGAAGCTTAGTCTCTTAGGACACGAACCGAAGCCGAAATCGACTGCCAGGTTTGGGGGGGCATTCCGTTGCACTTCGGCCTCACTCTTTTAGCATTGCCGTTTGCAAAATCATTCCCACCAGTTCAAACACCGAAAGTGCCCACACACACACACACACACACTCCGCATCTCGAAGTTGGCGGACGACCGCGCTGGGAGGGAGTGTGACGTGTTGCGAAGTAAACGCCCACTCGTGCGATGGGGGCGTGTTTCGATGTCTTGTTGCCCAGACCCGACATGGTCATCACTTCGTTTTTCCACGTATTCTTTCTTTGCTTCCTGAGGGCGTCTTCGGATGGTCCTACAGTCGGTTCGTGTCGTGTCGACGCGGCGGCGGTGGTCCAGACTCGGCGAATATGGAACGATCTGGCGATCGAACAGTCGCCTGTCATTGAAAGATGCATGGTCCGCGTGGTGTCAGAAACCAACGTTTGGGTCGTCACAACACGAACTTGCTGCAGGCGGAGCCCAAAACCAAGGCCTCCGACGTTCTTCTGCCATGGTGTGTCCCTGTGATGACCGAGAGCGCGTGTGATCTGCCCGAGAGTGCTGCGGTCACGTGTGCCGACCCTTGCAGGGTTGCTCACGCTCCGATCCGATCCCCAAGCTTCGCTTCCGAGCCGAGTCCCTCTCTGGCGTGCAGGGGCCGAGCCCGATCGGCGATCCAGAACGAGCCGATCTTGATCCGACTCCGCGACGACGCAGGCGCGCTCCTGTCCGGGTCCGACCCGATCCGGTTTCAGACAAAATGTCCGTCGAGATTTTTGTTGCCAACTAGCCCCCCAGCGCGCCGGAATTACTCTTCCAGCTTCGCCGCTGACGCTCTTAGGGAAGCTCTACGAGTCATTTTCAAATCTCTCACAACATTCGAAAAACCGACCCGAAGTTCCCACATTGTGATTCGCCCCAGATCAGGCTCCCCCGGTGTCCTTCCAGCGGAGCGCGCCCGCGGCGCGGCGGTCTCGCCGCGCGCGCCCGGAGCCGCGCGGCGGCGCCCCGTGGGCATAATTACGAAGCCCGGGCCGCACCTCCAGAGGGGCAGTGCGGATGTGGGCGAGACGGGGGGCATCGCTGCTCACGGGATCCCGGTGCTGCGCATGCAGGATGCTGGGCGGCGCATGTTGGGACGAGTGGTGGGCGATGAGCAGATCGGGGGCGGAGAGGAGGGGGGTGATGACTAGGAGGGGGTGGATATCATGGCGGGGGCCATGAGGTTTCCCCAGATTTCATGGCGCCTCTTCTTATTCCATTACGTCCCTGGCCCCCCCCCCCGCAGGGCCGCGCACATGCCGCCGGTCATGATTTGCACCCCCCCCCTTCTTGGACACCCCCCTCTTTGCCGCCCCCGAACAGAAGCGGCAGGTCCTATCTTATGAAACGAGAGGAACCCGGCGTGATCCCAACTAGGCGAACGTCTCTCGAGGCGCGCTGCTTGGCATTGCGGTGCCTTGCTTGGCATTGCAATGTTTTCCCTTGCTTGGCGTTGCATGGCATTGTTTGGCGTTGCTCGGCATATACAAGACCAGCGAACCTGGGAAGCCCGAGGAAGGCACCTTCAAAAGCAGTGGGGTTAAGTCGGGCCTGTCCCTCTACAGGGGGAAAATTCAAAATTTGCGAATTGTTCTATCATTTTTGAATATCTGTTGAATATGCTTTGGGTCTTCTTTATTTTTCGTCCAAAATCCGCCTGTAGGGGGACACGCCCGACCTAAGAGTAGTGGAACAACACCAAAGGACCCAAGGGTCCCGAGGAAGGCCCCTTCAGAAACAGGGAGGAAACGAGCCCAAGGAATTCTGGGAGCCCGAGGAAGGTCTCTTCAAAATCCATAGTGAAACACGACCAAGGACCCCACCGGGACCCTCGAGGAGCCCTCTTCGTAAGGAAGCAAGACCAAGGTATCTTTGGCGCGACCGTGTCCGACGCCCCCAGGCTTCTTTACAAGCTTGTGAGAACGGTGAAGGCGAAGCCTAGTTGGGAAATTACCCTGACCAAGGTTGACCAGGCTTGGCCGGAGGGGTGGTCGCCGTTTCCCAGAGAGTTGGCCGGGGTAATTCTCTGATTTGCAGATCGTTCCATGATTCAGGGTAAACATGTTTCTTCGTAGGCACACGCGGATTTCATCGCCGACCCAAGAGATCCGCGCGGCCAAAAGAGCTCGGGGCAAGTGGCATCGAATCAAGTCTAATTCTGGCAGGAGTTTTCGGCTACGAGCGAGGGGGGGAAGTGAGAAGGAGAAGGCCTTCTCAGAAGGCGGCGGGACTCCTCGGAAGCGCTCCCGCCTTCTGGGAGGTCTTCTGCATCATCGGGGAAGGCTCAGAAAATGTCGCAGAAGGCGGCGGGATTTCCGAGCCTTCTGAGAAGGCCCAGAAGCGGCCAAAGTGTCCCTCGACAGAAGGAATATTCCCAAATAGTCAAAAAATTGTGTGGGGACGATGTTTTAGCATTTTTGTTGACTATTGTTGGATATGTTTTGAGTATCTTTGATTTTTTCGCCCAAAATCCGCTGGTAGGGGGACATGCCCGACCTAAGCCAAAGTGTATCGATCTGGCGATCTTTTAACTCGCCGACCGTTCAGCGTTGAACGGTCCCCGTGGTGTCAGAGACCAACGCCAGGGTCGTCACGAAGCGAGCCTGCCGTAGACATCGAGTGTCGGAAGTCCGCGTGGGCTTTTTGGATCGGCGGTGGAACGCCTCTCCTGGCGCGCGGAGCTTCCCTGGTGCTTAACGCAGTGGTTTTCCACGTTTGAGCTTTGCCTTCGGGGCTTGCATGTTTCGTCAAGAAACAGGTGGGAGCCGGACGCGGTCGCGCTGGAGTTCCCCGGGGTTCTTTGAAGAGGTTTTCCTCGGGTTTCCACGGTTCCCTGGCCTTGCTCTCGTATTTTGGTTGAAGAGTCCGTCTCCGGGTTCCTTAGTTATGTTGCCCCATTGTGTTTGAAGAAGTTGTCCTCAGGCTCTGTTGGCTAATGTGTTTCTTTACTGATTCGAGACGGCCTTCCTGGGGTTCCCTGGGTTCCTTGGCGTTGCTTCCTTCAAGTGATTGAAGGGGCCGTCCTAAGATTCCCCCGGGTTCCTGGGTGTTGTTCTTTTGTTGTGTTTGAAGAAGTTGTCTTCGGGTTCCTTGGTCTTTCTGCCTAGCAACGCAAAGCAATGCAACGCCAAGCAAGGCCAAGCAATGCCACTGAGGAAGATTTCCGCTAATTGGGGTCGCGCCAGGTTTACTGCTCATTCCAGTTGGTCGAGGTGTACATTGGCCATGAAGGAGAGAGACCCTGCGGAGAACGGATCTTGGATCTGGGGACTTTCCCAAGCAACAGCTCTTCATCGTGAGTGGTCGTGTGAGGGTCCCAGGACCCGTGGAGGTCCGCAGACGTTGGCCCGATTCTGAATGTTGAGTTACGGAGTCCCGCGAGGTTTTGCTGCTCTGCAGGCGCGTTCGGGAACGAGGTTATGATGGGAGAGTGTCATCAAGGGCAGAAAAAAACGCCCCTACCCTGGTTTACGAGGCGCTGTGCTCTGAAACTCCTGTGGGCTGACAGGGTAAACCCTGCGTGATGTGCCGCGTCCTGGCGGCTCTAGGCTTTGGGGGTTCCCAGGAGGTTTACAAACCACGCACTTGTATTCCAGGGTAGGGTCGTTTTTTCATCCCTTGTCAGCAGAGGATATGTTTGGAGCCGCCTAAACCGCAGCGGGCATATGCCAATACGTTGGCCAGGATCTTGCAGCAGCTCCACTGCATGATTCGCGTCGGATTGCTGCAGGCGGGTCTGTTTTGGGTCGCGTTGGCATGCCAGCGACCTGATTTCAAAGAACGATACACACGATGTGCAGTACTTTCGAGAAGCCGCGCGCATCATTCGCTCGTTTGCAGGACTATGGGTTGCGTCTGTTGCGCGCATGCCATGTGCCTCAGGATGGTCCGAGCGGCTTCCGGCCTACAAGCGCGGCCCTCAGATGAGCTCAAATTGGCACGGCGCTGGACCTTCGCCGGGCCCTCCCGGCGCCAGAAGTTTCGCAGAGGAGTGCAGTGCACCTTGGGTCTCATCGTTCCCACCCTGATCCTGGTCCGCACGTAAGAGGGGGAGGAGGACCCCTTCAAAATCGCCGCCACCACCAGGCATCCCAAAGCCCCCTCGTGGCCCAGATCCGGAGGCCTATCGCCGATCAATCGGCGATGCATCGCCGGTTCCGGGTCGATGTTCCCTCCCCCCGTGAGCTGGGCTGCCCCAACGTTCCCCCGCAGGAGCCCCGTCCCCCGTCGGGATGCGGAGGGCCTGGCATCGCTCGGACGTGTGCATTTTTTCCTTCGGCGAGGAGCATCCCTGATCATTTGGCGAAAAGACCACGCACGAAGCCCCCAAAAAAACACAGGGAATGGACGTCCGAGCGATGGCCAGAGGGGGCCTCCTGGGAGGTCCTCGGCCTCGGGCAGCGCCCCGAGGGTGGGGGGGAGATCACCGCCTGCGGTCGGGACTCTCTTCGCGCCGCGTGTCGCGCCGCGGGCTCTGGCCCACCACGTCTCGGCGCGACGCGCGGCCCGCGTCCCCGTCCCCAAGCACCCATCCAACGGGGCTGGGACGAGGGCAAACCCGTTCCAGAGCGTTCCAGAAACGCTCTCAGAGCGTTCCGAGACATCGTCCAGAGCCGCCGCATCTCAGAGATTCCCCATTGTAATGGCTTCCGGCCAGTGCCGCCGATCCGGGGCGCTCCCGATGCGTGTGGGAACGGACGATGACGACGACGACGACCGACGACCGGGTCAACGACGGACGATGATGACAACGACGACCGACGACGACGATGACGACGACGACGACGACGACGTCGACGACGACGACGACGACGACGACGACGACAACGACGACGACGACGACGACGATGACGACGACGACGACGACGACGACGACGACGACGACGACACGACGACGACTCCAGAGCCGCCGCATCTCAGAGATTCCCGATTTCTCCTCACCCGATGTTATCTTCGTCCTGGCTTCGTATTCCATAGGGGAACGAAGAATGCCATAACATAAAAACTCGGAGGTCCGCGCGGATTTCTCGGATCGGCGTTGGACCCCCCTCCTTGGCGCGCGGAGCGCGCCACGGGCGGCGCCGGAGGCGCCGCCAGGGTGGTCCAGCGCGGATCCGAGAAGTCCGCGCGGACCTCGAATTGTTATGTTGTCATTCCTCGTTCCCCTACCATCTATCCTCACCCGATGTCGCTCCCCGCGTCCCAGTCTCCCAGGCACCAGCGTCCCGAGCCTGCTCAAGCGCCCCGCGAGGCGCAGCGGCACGCATGTCCGCGTGCAGGGCGGGCGCAGCGTGTCGCCGGGGCCGCCGTCGCGGCGCGCTGCGCAGGAGTGCCTGACCGCGTGGGGGGGGGAGAGAACTGGATTCCAAAAGCTCGAGCGAGGTTCGAGGTTCGAAATTTCAAGAGATTCGAAGGTTCGAATGCGAGATTTCAGGAGATTCGAAATTTCAGGAGGTTCGAAATTGCAGGAGACTTTGAGGTTCGAGGTTCGAATGCGAGATTCGAGGTTCGAGGTTCGAGATTCGAGGCTAAAAGTTCGAGATTTTCAGGAGGCACCGTCGGCTCTCGGCAGTTTTCAGGCCTCGGGAGATGCTTGCCGGCAGCTGCGCCTCGCCGAGTGTGTTCTGGGGGGGCGGGGATCGTCCCGAACAGCCGCCGGACACCCGAGTTATTCAGGAGGGAAAAAACACGCAGACACAATTCATCGTCGACTCCCAGGAAAGTACGGGAAGATATGGGAAGTGAGGGGTAAGACGAAAATCCAGAAAGTATGGACAAATATCGGGAATCCTGGGATTTGAGTGTATTTGTTTGTGTGTCCGTGGGCCTCTTGAGTTATGACCCGATAACTGAACTCGGCATCTGATTTCTTTCACTCGGTTGCCAACGACGCAACCTTGAGTCGGCCGACGGTCCCTCTGGATGCATGGCTGAGCGAGCGAGCGAACTGAACTCGGCGGAGAGCCAGGAGGGGAAGTGAGAAGGAGAAGCCTTCTCAGAAGGCGGCGGGACTTCTCGGAAGCCCTCGCGCCTTCTGAGAGGTGTTCCGTGTCTTCGGGAAGGCTTAGGAAATTTCTCAGACGGCCCGGG